GATGGATGGATGGATGGATGGATGGATGGATGGATGGATAGATGGATGGATGGATGGATGGATAAATGCATTGAGTTGCTGCCATGTGATTGGCTACATTTTTGTTAATGAGTAGTTGGATAGGTCTACCTAATAAAGTGGCCTGTGAATGCACGCAACACATCATAAATCTATTTTATTGATTTAGGTCAAATTTAAAATTTTATGTATTTAGACTTGTTTATCTTCTGGGAACAATCGAAGTGTGCTGTACCACACCCTCACCCCTACTTCCTACAACCTTGCCTTATTATCTGTTTTAATATTTTTTTAAAAAGTAAGTCATTAGTATCAGTTACCTGTTTACATTTAATTAATTACATGTTGCCTATTTATTACATTTAATATAAATCCTTTCTAAAGTATCAAAAACTGAGCTTTTGTCAACTTCCAACAGTTTAATAAAGAAATCCAAGCTCTGTTGAACAGGCTGTTGTATTTCATATTGATTTTCTCACTCATTATTTTCATTTGCACTTGACCTGTCTTCAGATATTCTTTGCATGCCTGGTGTAATGTGTGCAGGTTCTTCCTGYACCTGCTTCATTTATATAGATGATATATTGAAGACGTGTTTTTTTTTTTCTGTCTGCATCTTTTGTACATTCAGTCCTTAAACTCTCTCGGACACGCAGTCTGCAACCCCTCATCATAGTTGTGGATAGAAAGTAGTTTCTGGTGTCTACTAATACTGTGCGAGTTCAAACAGATGAAAATCCTATGAGAAGATCAATGAGTGACTCAAAATCAGTTGAAAATACAGCTATGGAAGGAGTCATGCCAAACAGAAAATAAACAGCACCACCAATCAAATTTGCACTGACTGACCYGCCAAAATAATGTGATGAACAGCAAAGTGTTGGAAGAGCTATCTACAGATAATAGAATTTAGAGTTTGAGCAACAGCTTAAACAGACAGAAAAAWGCTGYATATTAAAACATCTGTGCGAGGATATAATCCTGGATCGATTTTCTTTTAGAAAAAAAATAAAAATCTAAATTAAACATTCCTTGGGGATGTTGCAATAAGCCTGATGAGCACTGGCAGCATTCTTTGGTCAGATGAGACCCACTATTTTTGGAACATGAGTGCAGGGTTTCCACAGATCTGAAATAACGCAGTGATAAATGAGGTTGCTTGATTAAACAAGTTGTAGGACAGATGGTACACAAAGCAAGAAATGATGGATTATTTCGAAATGCAGACGCCGTCGCTTCCTGTTTCCAGAAAGCTTACCCACAAATGTTAGCAACGAGTGGGTTAGCTGGGCAAAATCCTACAAGGGTTTCTAAAGACAAAAAATAAAAAAACAATCAAATAAAATGAATGATGTGACCTGGTCAAAAACGTGATCTGACTTAAATCCATCAGAACTCCATCCGACAGTTGTAAAAGCTAAAAATGGAGCAACAAACCCCCTCAAGCAAAGAGCAGCGCTATCACCRAAGAATACAAATATAAAACTGTTGTTTCTCATGTTTAGCAGAGGTGAAACAGCCAAGAAAAACACATTTTAAAATTAATCGTCTGAATCTCAGTGAGCTTTGGGGCCTGCATATTTTATTGCTAACAATCAAAACCTTTCATAATTTAACATTAGAGCACAGTATACCTTGACTTTCTGTCTGCGGAGGAGGCTTTTACAAATACTTATTTAAGTGAAAATGCACTGGCATTTAGAGACCACTGTTGAGTGCCGCCTCGCCGTATTAATGGTTTATTAGCAGCTGGAACACCTTACCAGCCTAAAAATAGTGCAGTGTATAGCTGTAAGTAATTACTGTTGTGTGTGGAGAACCTCAGTGATGCAACAGTCTGTCTGCTTTTCCCCCACTTTTACGAGTGACACATTTATTAAAAAGTGSATATCATACTTTACTGCAGTGTGTGAGAATTAAATCATGATTATGCATCTGTTCTCAGGTCTCCTCTGTTATAGTTTTTTAACTCTAGCAGGTGTCCCACCTAAATTACACATGGGAAAACTGGATTTCCTGTTAGTTATTGATGCACTGCRTAATACTGTTTATTTGCTACTGATACGAGCTTAGTAAGTAGTTTTAGAGAAATTGTTTGATTTTCGGAATTGGATATCTGTTTTGAACAGGGTGCAAAGCAAGGTTATAACAGTTTTGGATTTTTATTATAGTTTAGTTTTATTTCTTGACTTTTTTCTTTTAATTTAGTTAGTTTTAATGAGTTTTTAGAGTGGATTTGCTAGTTTTTATTAGCTATTGCTGATTTTTAGTGCTTAGTTTTAATTTAGTTTCCATTAGTTCTAGCAACAGTTTTTTCTTATAGTTTGAATAAACATATCTGCCAGTGCATCCTCCAGCTTGAGATGTTCCTGTGAGTTCACTAATCAGCAGCTTTTTGGTCAACTGTGAAATCAGTCCATTATAGCGACAACTTCAATAATTACGTAACTCAATTTTGTCAACAAACTTGGGGGGATTGTTTTAAGAAGGTGATAGTCGTCTCCATCCCGGTGCTACCTGTTGCTTGTTTGAGCCACTGAGAGAAGCTAGCTTGTCAACATGCTCACAGTTTATCCATCTTGTGAGCTTGATTTGTGTTTTTTTTTTTCCCTTGAGAAGTATTCCACCTATTTTATCACCTGTTTCCACTACAAGACACTTTCTTTTATTTTTCTCACAGTTATATTCAAAGAAATCCCAAATCGGACTTTGACGCTTTCTCCCAACTTTTGTTGTTGTCATTTAGCTAGCCCTGAGCAGCAGAAACTTCCGGACCATAAGGTGCCGTAAGGTGATCGAATGCTAATGTGAAACTGCTCGATTTGAAGAAAAAAAARAGATTTTATTTATTTTAGTTAACTAAAATAAGTTTTATATTTCAGTTTTGGACATTTCATTAGTTTTAGTTAACTATAATAACACTGGTGTCAAGATTCTACTCATTGAATGAAAGACAAACATGCTGTTCTGCTGGGTTTTGGCAGCTAATTTGTAAATCCACAGCTTACTTTAGCTTGCACAGCTTACAAAACTCTATTCTTAGCCATGCACAAAATGTTGTCATCATCTGATTTACTGTGGCCGGCTTTGTTGAGACAGGTGTGGGTCTCTGTGACTCAAGCAAGATTACTGAGAACCCTCTTGAATGTCTGGAGACCGTCTGGAGACTCTCCGCTGTTTGCCAAATACTTGCCAGCAGCTGCAGCCCAGTGAAACACTGCCATTTGTCTAAACAATACAGCATATTTTTAAAAAGTACTGTAGTTGTAACAATTACAGGCGATATGACCTGAGGATGCAGACCAATACAAAGAGCAACAAAAAAAATAACTATTAAACTTCATTGTAACAAAAAYAAAAGCTGGCATGGCAACAAACAAAAAAAACCTATAAACTACAAAAATGCAGGAAAATATGGAGGAAGAATTAGGCACAACAAAAACACAATAAATATGAACATAAAGTCTAAAGGGAAAACTAAATATTGAAAAATAAGAATGGTAATGGTAATTGGGGA